TCCGTTTTATTCCATTATACGGCAAAAATTCCATTTTATTCATTAATTATAAAAATGGAATAATTCCGGGTCTCTGATTTTCACACTATAAAAAAATTACACTGATCCCCCAATTTTTTTTTTAATTTTCTCACGATACTTTCGTGGTAAAAAGTGCATAAAATCTAACGAATTTATCGAATATTCACACTGTAGATAAAATATAAAAAGACAAGATTATGTGCTTTATTTTTGCTATATTTATGTTATAATTAGATATAAATTACTTTATCTTGTTTCCTTTATTCACTAATTGACCAAATGCACAATTTACAAATATATTTTTTATTCCGGCGCAAATTTTGAATTTTGAATAACAAATAAAAAAAATTTGCTTTATATTAAAAATGACTCTTCAAAGTTATGATGTCGTTGTGAGTTTCTTTAGTGTGGTATTGGATATTTTCTTCCGTGAAATAAGGCCTCGCGGATCACATAAAGTACCAAAGGAAGGGCCGGTAATATTTGTCGCAGCGCCTCATGCAAACCAGGTAAAACGATTAATTTTTTTAAACTATACTAGAATGCAATAGATCCGTTGCCATGATCCATAAAATGTCTTAAATAGTATGTCGGGAATGCAATAATGCCTGGATCGAATCTTAAGGTTATCAAATAAAAAATCTTTTTTCATCAATAGTAACATTAATTGTTTCGTCATTAGTTTGTTGATCCATTGATTTTGATGAGGCATTGTCAGAGGCACGTTTCATTCTTGGTTGCAGAAAAATCGATGCGTCGCAAATATATCGGAGCAATGGCTCGTGCTGTTCATGCAAGTGAGTAATAATCATTCCAATGATTTCAAATATATATATATATATATTTATATATTTATGTATGTTTATATAATGAATCGAAACAAATTTATTAATTAATGATCATGTTTTTAGTCCCGGTTACAAGGCCTCAGGATTTAGCTCAAGTCGGAAAAGGACGAATTCAACTTCTTAATCGTAAAACCGATCCAACTCGAATCACCGGTATCGGAACTGCATTTACACAACAGTTGAAAGTTGGATCTCGAATTGCTCTTCCTATGGATCACGGCTCGTCTGAAGTAAAAGAAATATTATCAGACACGGAATTAGTTATAAAAAGAGAATTCAAAGAGATAGATGCTTTAAACTTGCTTACAGATCCTGAAGGCACGCAATATAAGTGTTTTCCACATATTGATCATAGTCAAGTATATAAAATCGTTTTCGATACCCTGAAAGAAGGTCATTGCATTGGAATATTTCCGGAAGGTGGTAGTCACGACCGCACGGAAATCTTGCCCCTTAAAGGTAATTATTTAACCATGATGGATTCTTGTATATCAAAATATATTATTAATGATTTTATTATAGCTGGCGTGACAATAATGGCTTTGGGAGCTATTGCTGCGAATCCCGACTTGAACGTTAAAATAGTTCCATGTGGTAATTAAAATTCTCAAATGATTGCCGTTTATCAATACTTCCTTTTTTTTTTTTAGATTATTCAAATATATTAATTAATCTCTGAAATTAATTTTTGAGAATACAGGTTTGAATTATTTTCACGCTCACCATTTCAGATCACGTGCGGTTATAGAATTTGGTTCTCCAATTTCTATTCCACCTGATTTAGTGGAGAAATTTAAGGAAGGAGGCTCATCAAAAAGGGAAGCTTGTTCGAAATTATTGGAAGACATTTATAATGGTTTAAGAGCTGTTACCGTCAACACTCCAGATTATGAGACGTTGATGGTTTGTTAATTAGCTAATTATTTTCTGTTAGATAGTGTTCAAGCGTAGATTTCTAATTTGTTTTAATCATCAGTTCATACAAGCTGGACGTCGTTTATATAAGCCGGCTCATAGAAGATTACCAATTTCTCAAATTGTTGAATTAAATCGGCGATTTGTGGCAGGTTATGAGCATTTTAAAGACAATCCCAGAGTTCAAGAAATGCGAAAGCATATTATGGAATATAACAAATTATTAAAATATCATGGGTTAAAAGATCATCAAGTTAACAGGTCAGCTATGGGAGGAACTAGAGCTGCCGGATTATTATTCTACAGAGTGATATTATTAGCAACATGGGGAATCTTAGGGCTACCTGGGTAGGTGATTAGTTTTTAGTAATCAATATTACTATATCTATTTATTATTTAATTGTCTAATTTATATACATGTGTGTTTATTAGATTTATTTTAAACTTGCCACTTGTAATAATTGCGCGTAAAATTAGCGAAAGGAAAGCCAAAGGTTATTATTTTTATCATAATCATCAATTTTCTTTCATAATAATTCACTTAACGCGTATTAATCCTATATAGAAGCTGTCCGTGTATCATCTATCAAAGTGGCAGGACGTGATGTGCTGGCGACATGGAAATTACTCGTTGCTCTTGTTGTCACTCCCATGCTTTATGGCTTTTATACATTCATTGTGGTTCTCATTTCATTTAAATATAGGTGGATATTAAAATGGAAGGTTTTTGCTCCTATCTCAACCTTTTGCACGTTGGTCACGGGAAGTTATGCGACCATCAGATTTTACGAGAGTGGAATTGACGTTTACAAGTAAGATTTTTGAATTTGTACCCGATATAAGTGAAAGTGTTTATTTATTGATCACATATATATTTCATTTTTAAGATCGATTCGTCCACTTTTCCTGTCACTACTTCCATGGACACGATCTTCTATTAAAAATTTACGCACAGTTCGTGAGATATTATCAACTGATATTACTAACCTTATTAATGAGTTAGCACCACAAATTTATCATGATTTTGATGTTGAAAGGATCGTTCAAGCAGCAGCAGAACGTTCTGTAATGTCTACAATTTCAAATAGTGTGTTCCAATCACCAATAAATTGGCTAGATGATAGGATATTTAATTGGGAAAGGCAAGGAGAAACATCAGAATTCGATGATGTAATTTACTTTTTAGAGAAAAATAATGGTAGTGCATCAGGACGTAGTAGAACAAGTTCATGGGCTAGTGGATCCAATTCAAGACCTAGAAGTAGAGCAAATTCAATTACGTCCGGACCTCCAGGAGAAAGTTATCGGGTTGAAGCATTAACAGAGTTACCTAGAGGTGAACCTTTCTCAAAATTAAATTTAAGGACAGGAGGATTCACCAAAATCAAGAGTAAGGAATCTGAAGAAGATTCCGGATATCATGGGGATGGGGAGGATGATGTGAGAAAGAAAAATGCTTCATAATAAATTAAGTTATGATATCTATGGCTGATATATTTAGAAGTCGCCTCGAGACAATTTAATTTAATTTAATGTAATTTTCTGGATGAAAATTAATATTATTTACATGTAATTTATAATTAGGTGTAAAATAGGACAATTTAATAAAATTTTATTACCAGTATTTCTATACTATTATTTATGGTGATACAGAACTAAAAACACTAAATCGATCGGAGAAAATACCTTTTCCCAATAAGCTTAAATTATTTCCAAACATAGATCATCAAATGTAAAAATTATTTCGTGCATTAAACAGCCTAATCCCATTTTTTTTTTTTTTTTTATAAAAAAAAAATAAAAATAAAAATGTTTAAAGATTTATTAATTTTTAATACATTTGTTAAATTATTACTATTTCCTACATAGTAAGTTTAAAATCGTTGTTAATTATAATAATATATTATATATTTTATATAATGAAATATGTATTCATTTTTTAAAAATAAAAAGTCGTTCAACGGATTTTGAAGTTCATCGAAATTGGCTTGCTATTACGCACAGTCTTCCGATATCAAAATGGTATTATGAAGATAGGAGTGAATGGACTTTAGATTATCCACCATTTTTTGCATGGTTCGAATGGTATTTATCACAATTTGCATCATTAGCGGATAAAGGAATGCTTAAAGTTGATAATTTAAATTATGCAAGTGATGCAACCATTTATTTTCAACGTACTACTGTAATTATAAGTGAATTAGTATTGTTTTATGCATTGAAAAAGTAAGTCTTAAATATTTAATATCTTTTTTTTTTGTTGAATGTGAATTTAATAATAATAAAAATGTTTTGAATAGATATATGACCATAAGTAATATGGAGAATAAAAAACTTTTAAATATAATTAATATAATTTTCACATCAATCTTCTTGAATCCTGGAATTTTAATGGTTGATCATATCCTTTCGTTTGATTTTCACAAGCTTTTTATTTTTTGTACTCAATCTTTTCATTTATTGACATCCATTATTTGTTCTTAAAAAAGAAACAATTAATTGGAAGGTCCTTGTTTGAATTCAATTGTTGATTTTTAAATCCTTGATTTATTTTAATTACATATTCATTTTCAATATAATGGATTTCTTTATGGTTTATTTTTGCTTTCATTGGCACATGCCAAAGAGGTAAGTAAGTTAAATCACTTTCGAAGCGTTAAAATCATCAATATAACACTTCTCTTTTACATTCGTCTTGTATATTAAGGGAAATGATCTGATGTGCGGGATAATGTTTGCTATTTTGCTTAATTTTAAACATATTTTTCTTTACCTTGCCCCTGCGTATTTCGTATATTTATTGAGGCATTACTGCTTTCAAAAAACATCCGAGCAAGGTACATACAACCAACAACAAAAAAAAAACAACAAAAACTCTATAAATAATCCAATCTTTTCAATTGAGAAAAATAATTTTTAATCGTTTATTACTTAGGAACAAAAAAATTTTCGGTTAAAAATTTTTTCACCCTTGGATTTTCGGTCATTGTAATATTTTTACTTTCATTTGGACCCTTCATTATGATGGGACAATTGAGACAAGTCCTTTCTCGATTATTTCCCTTTAAAAGAGGATTATGTCATGCATATTGGGCGCCGAATTTTTGGGCCTTGTATGCTGCGGTGGATCGAGTGTTGATTGTTGGTAAATATATTAATAATAACAACAACAATTGATGAATTCATACGTATTGAATAATTTGATACATATTTAGTTGCAAAACGATTCGGATGGACGTTAAATGTATCGGCAATTGGTTCTATTACAAGAGGGTTGGTTGGAGATGTAAATTTCGCGTTATTGCCACAAGTTCAAGCGAATCATACTTTCATTCTTACCTTGGTATTCCAGACGGTAATCCCTTTAAGTTTTAAAAAATGAATTACAATATATAATATATATAATATATTATATATGTATTTATTTATTTTTTTTTCGTTAGGCATCTCTTATTAAATTGTGGAAATATCCAACTTACAAAAATTTTCTTGGATCATTAATTTTGAATGGGTACTCTTCTTTTCTATTTGGATGGCATGTTCATGAGAAAGCTATCCTGTTGGTTATGATTCCTTTCAGGTAAAATATATCCAACGACTGTAGTTTTTTTAATTAATTTATACAATTTAAAAATTTTAAACTACATTGTGATTTATTAGCTTGATTTATACGGATAATATCGAACTTTTCCGTTCTTATATGATACTTGCAGTATCCGGAATATTTTCTTTGTTCCCACTTTTATTTAGATTGACAGGTATGCTTTCGTTTGAAATTCCTCTAATTTGTTTCAATGTATTTATTTTTCTTTTTTCCTTTTTTTTTTTATAGAATCAACCATCAAAATTGTGATCTGTTTACTATGGTTTATTTTAACCTTCATGGGAATTGTATCCAATTTTAACTCTATCAAGTAAATATATTTTAACGAAATTTTCCTTTTAATATAATATAAAAATTCTCATTGAAAAATTTTATTACTATTCTTTTTTTAGAAATAATAAGCCCGATATAACATACTCACAAAAAGATAGATTCATCAAATCTTCGTATTTGATAGAATTAGCGGAAAACATATATATGTTTGGGTTTATCGTATTACAATTTTTCACAGGAATTGCACATCAAATCATTTATAATAACCAGTATCCTTTTTTGCCTTTATTAATAACATCCGTATACTGTTCTTTTGGTATAATGTATTCTTGGATTAGATTGAGTTTATTTTATTTTTTTGAATAAGTTTTGTTTAATAAACGGATTTGTTCTCATGCATGAAAACGTGTATTACTTTCGATTTTACAACGTTCGTGTGTTAAAAATTCGTGCAGCATTTCGAGAAATTTTGAGCGATTAGGCAATAATAATGCTAATTTTATCATTATCAGTTATTAACCATTTTGTTTTGTTATAATGAACTCTCTCATGATATTCTTGAAATGCTAGAAACCTACTATTACAAATTGTACTTAAGTAAGAAATGTAACGTGTTACTTTTTCAAATCAATTCTCACAAGAAATTTAAGATGCAATTGAAAAAAAAAAAAATGAAAATTTCACACTCTTTGAAAGTCCTTATATGTTTGATAAGGATATGGACAATCGCACAACCTCCAAAAAAAGATTATAATCAATGACTAGATAATCTTGATGTGCACCAGTTTGAATTATCCGTCATACAGACATTTAATAGTAGAGATTTGTTATTTTCATAAAAAACTTAAACCTTCCATCTTTAAAAAAAAACGGCTAAAGGGTCTTTTGTTACAAATTCATCAAATTCAACGCGTAAATAAAAAAAATACATAAAAATTTCCTTAATTTCGCAAATTTTCGAATCAACCTCATTCGATTTTTGTAACTTTCGGCGCAGTAACTGCGGTGCCTTCCCAAACAATTTTATCATTTTTTAAAGCTAATAAATAAAAAATTTTTCCGCGCACATTTCCAAACGAAACATTCTACTATTTCTGTGTCCGAATAAGTCGTACTCAGATTTTTTCAAACTAATATATTTAATTGCTTTATTTTGACATCTAATCGCATAAAACATTTTTAAAAGTTTATGGCACCAATTGTTCTAACGAATTGTCACAAAATGACGACGTGCCAATGTGATGGACCTACGATAAATTTCAAAAGCATCCTTATTTAAATTGACGGAAATCGTTGCCTCAGATTTCTAATCACATAAAGAAATCCTTTGCATAAAGACTAAAAATTCAAAGAAATTTGTGAAAAAAAAAAAAAACTGAAGTTATGATAAAAAAAATAGCGCAACGAGTTAGTTATATCATTTACTTGCATAACCACAGAATCCGCAGAATTAAGATTTGTAATGGAAAAGGGGAAACTGCCGGGAAAAATAAAATCGAGTTCATGCTAAAATCTGAACATATTTTGGCCTAGAAATCATATAAAGTAAAATTGACTTTTTCCGGCAGTTCCCCCTCCTATCGCAATCATATCTCATGAAGAAATTAATTGGTTCATATATAAAATATCATCATTTGAAAGAAAGAAAAATAAAAAGAAAGGAAAAATGATTTATTAAAATGGGTTCTTAGTTTCAATTTTAAAAATTTCATAAATGTTCATGTATTTGCAGCGTAAAAAAAAACTATTTGTTTCTTAGTACAACAATTATTTGTTTAAAATTTCATACAAAAATTTAGAAAACTTATATACATTAAACAGATGTAAATTAATAAAATTCCCTAAGAAAATTTACGAAATGTAAGTTAGCAATAAATCATATAAATACTTCAAGTATCAAAAAAAAAAAAAAAAAATTTATTACCTTTCGTGCTGATTTTTACACTGATCGCCAACACGCAAGAAGACTTTAATTACCCCATTTTCTTTCTGATCAAACATTTTATAAAATTTTCCGGCATCTTCCAAATTCCCGTGATGAGTAAAGATATTCATGTTCACTTTATTGATTTTCATGATTGATAAAAGTTGAACCCAATATTTTTGCACTTGAACTAGACCGCTTCGCAAAGTGAGTGACTTTTCCTAAACATAAATAACAAGGAAACATTCATTATCATTTATATTGAAAATTAATTGCCGCAAACCTTTCGAGAATCTTTCTTACCATAACCGCACCAATCGGAAAATTGTTGACCTTCCCGACAAATACTCCAACGATAGAAATTCGTCCACCTGCAACAACACGGGGAACGTTAGCAATTATTAACCTTATACGTTCAAAGTTACCGCTCTCGAGCTTACCTTTTTTAACACAACGAATTGCTTCATCTAATGCGTCAGTACTATCAGTCTCAGCCAAGAGTGTTTTTTCTACCAGTTGTTTAAGAGTTTTGGTATAACGAAATCCTGCGCACTCGATTGCAACGTCCAGTCCACCGGGAACAATCAACTTCATTTTAGCGACTATATCTTTATGCTCTTTGAAATTAATTGTTTCGGCTCCAAAATCATGTGCCTTTGCTAAACGTTGCGGAACACAGTCGATCGCTATAAAAAACGAAAGAAATATAAGAATTACCTATAAAAAAAATCTCTCTGGAGAAAGAAGTTTTGATAATTCATGTCAAGATACCGATTATACGCGACGCGCCACGAAATTTCGCCCATGCGATTGCGCTTAAGCCAATTGGTCCACATCCTATTTAACAATAAAAATTGATTAGCAAGCAGTAAATTTATTTATCAACTAGTATATGGCCTTTTCCTTACCCCAAATTCCAACAATATCACCTAGATGGAAAAAGAAAGTGTTACAGGATTAAATAATTAAAAAAATATAAAAAGCGATACAGTGTAAATCAGATCGTCCCTTTTTTTTTTTTTTTGATTTTTCAATACCTTTAGACACTTCGCCTAATTCGTTGGCATGCCAACCAGTACATGCAACATCCGATAATAAGACCAATTTTTCCTATAAAATACCAATCAAATCGTTTTTTTTTTTTTTTAAAAAAAAAAAAAGCTAACTTTGTTTATAATAATGTAATAATAATGTAATATATATATATGTATATATTTTTACCCCTAAAGTTTGATAATCTTCTTCCGAAACTTGAAGAAGGTTGACATCAGCATAAGGAACCCGAACGTATTCAGCTTGAATTCCTGTAAAAAGACGTCATAACGATCATCTTGCAAATTAAAAAGACTCGAAAGATGATAAAATTCGTTACCATCATATCCGCCAGTCAAATGGGAATATCCAAACATCCCACAGGTACGATAACCTGAAAACCCATTATAAATATTAGATCTATGACAAAAATTGGAAGGAGAAAAGCTTTGATAATTACCGGATAATTCATCCATCTCTTTACTTGGATTGGTGACGTCGCAACAACTAAACAATTTTTTTTGACAATACTCACATTGTCCACATGCAATCATAGCGGAAATGACAACGCGGTTATTTGGTTTAATATTTGCGACCTTTTCACCAACCTAATCAATTAAATGTGTCAAAAAGTATATATTTATATTATTGTAAAGAATATAAAAGAAATAAATAAAGGTAAATAATTATATACTTCAACAACGATGCCCATTCCTTCATGACCCACGATATCAGCTTTCTTCATCCCAGGGATTTCATTATGATACAAATGTAAATCGGATCCACATATAGTAGTTCCGGTTATACGAACAATGGCGTCGGTTGGTTGCTAATAAACGATTATATAATGAGTCAATCTCGGACGTCCCAAAGGATTAATTCTACTTACAATGAGGACAGGTTTTTGACGTTTTGTATTGATGCGTATGTCATTACTACCATGCCACTCAACGGCAATCATGGTATCATTTAAAGGTTCTGCGAGTACAGTAATAGGAATTGGATTCATTTTTTCGAAAAAAATTTTGAGAAAATAAAATTCAAGGAGGATCGCTTTGTTAAATTTACTAAATTTTACAAAAATTCGATGATGTAAAGATGATCATTAATTATTAATGATAGTTAGTATATTTGATCAATTTGACATCATTACGAAAAGAAAAAAACAAAAATCTTGTGATTTATTAATTTTTTAATAAAATAAATTATTACTGATCAAATAAGCCCGGAATTTAACAGGCTTAATCATGTCCTTCATATTTAAAATCGTTTTACACATGATTTTATGTTGCAACAGATCGTCATTCATTTGGTACAAAATTAACTCTGATTAAAAAATTAAAATTTAAAAACAGATCTCGTATTTCAGCAAATTATTGAATTCGTTCTTAAGCTGAAAATCCATTGGCAAATAAAAATAAATTTATCGAATATGCATCAAATATGCATCAGGAATTAAAAAATTGTGTTCGATAAAAGTCTATCTAATAAGCTTTGCTGCGGTGATGCCATTGTCCAATGTAACGACGTCATGTGGTTAATTTTACTTTTTTAAATACAATTATTACAGTACATACAATTCAACAGTAATTTCACTCTCCATCATTCTTTTTCACAAAAATGATTTATTCTCGTTTTTATTAGAGATATTAATAAACGGAAAGCCACTAAGAGAATGTAGTGAACCTATAAATAAAAGATTTGTATGTTATAAGAAAAATTCATTCTCGTAACCATTACGTTTTATATATATATATATTTTAATAGAAAATTTCTTACTTTTTTTTTTTTTTTTTTTTCACGGAAAGTCCGAAAAAAAATGTACCAATCAATATTTAACTTGAAACAATAATAAACAGAACCTTCTTATGTACTTGACCAAAAAACTGGGCGAAAAATCGAAAGGTTCGTACGTAATAAAAAAAATAAAGAAGAAGCCATTCACATGTCTTAGCATCCTTTTGTTAATCAAATCCTAATGAAATGATAAAACATACTACGCTGCGTTTGAAGAACTATGCACAAATTATGTATAATTCGATGCCTCGCATGATATCTTTTCATCATCTTGCACGATTCTTAAGGCAAAAGCTATTTGTTGATGGACAATGGGATCACACTTGTATGCAACTTCAAAAATTGAGAGTCAAAGCGAGTAAAAATGGATTTTTTGATGAACAACGATATAAAAAATTTGTTTAAATTTGATGTCACAAATTTGGATAGATGATGAGAAACGCGAGTTGTAAGATCAAGATTTAGAGGAATTGGAGCCATCTCCGTTTACTTTTATAAAGCTAAAGATTTGGAGAAGTTGAAATTATAAATAGTAATAATAGCAAAGATAGAATACAAAAAGTGCAAGTTTTTGAATCAACCGGAATTGGAATGGGGATAAAACTTTCTACAGGTTTTGAAAAAAAGTCAAAACGTCAAAGAGACCTCGAATAAAATGTTAAGTAGTTTATCAACATTACCAATAGCTGTTTGATGACATCAGATAAAGAGTGAAATAGGTATTGAGTATGAAACATGAGTTTGATGAAATTAAGTCTAAAGACAATAATGAGGAATGCAAGATTTTAATTAAAAGAAAATTCGCAATTATTGAAGAAAGAAAACAGAAAGGAAAAGATGATAATGGGGTAAAGTCAGACGTGATAAAGAAACGATTTAAAAAAATGCGAAGCCTGAAAAAGATTACTTAAGGCAGTTCAGTACTAGTGCTCTGAAACGATCGAGTCGATCTGGGTCGTTTGACCTGACTTGAATTTTTTCTCGAGTCAGAACTATCATTTTTATGACACGAGTTCTAATTCAAAAAAACCCACCGGGTCAGGGTCACGTTGTTGTTTGAACTGGGTTGACCCGTATGACCTGGATGATCGGACTCGCTAGACTTTTTTTTATGTTATGCAACTTTAATTTGTAACAAATAAATAATAAAAAAGTAAACCTATCGAAATTACAGCACAACTTTTTTTAGAAAACGAAAAGCATTGCGGAGTGAACAATTACAGTTAAAAAAAAAATATTAAACATTAACTTATACATTTTTTTTATAAATCAACAATTGTTCGTTCCTTTTTTCTGGCGGAACTTTCCAAAAGATGTGATCTTAAAGCTAATACAATTTTCCTGTATGTGCTTGAAATTTTGAAAAAAAAATAATAAATTTTAAAAATAAAATAAACTTCATATGATTTTCGGCATTAATAATTACCTTGAAAATTCGAGTCGAATCTGGGTTAAACAATGATCGGGTCGAGTTGAATTTGGGTTCTGTAATTATTAACGGGTTCGAGTTCGAATATGCCTTAAACCTGACCTGACCCTTACAAAGCACTAGGTAGCGAGACATGAAATAGACGTAATATTGCTAAAACTGAGAAGATTTGAACGTGAAAATGACATTAAAAATAATATTTACCTTATTGTCGGTCGTAGTACTTAATATTTATTTAAATATTGATTGACTTTATTGACTGCATTTATTAATTATTATTATTATTATAAATGAATGCATTTACAACGAAGGTCTTTCAATAAAAATTAATAACTTTTTTTAGTATATTTATTTTAAAAAAAAAATTGTAATTGGCATTGCCAAATAAATAAATGTATAACTAAAATTCTAAATTATAACCAATTAACCAGTTTTTTCAATAAAAAAGTTTAAATTACGTGTTAATTATTTATACATTATTTATTTTTTTTTATTTCGTATTTTAATTATAATATAATATTTAATTTTTATAATATGATTTATTAATAAGAAAAAAAGAAAAGACATTATAATTCGTCGCATTAAGAAGTGTTGATTTTTATTTTTTTTTTTTATATGTATTATATAGGAAAAAAAGAAAAGACAATAAATAATTTTTTATATTTTATTTTTTTTATATATATTTTTTCGTATAAGATTTATTTTATTTTATTAAAAAGAAATGCTGATTTTATTTATTTATTTTTTTTTTTTATATCTTTCATATATTATTATTATTACTTATTACTACTTTTATTCATTTATATTAATTTTCACTTTACAGTAATAACTATATACAATTTATAAATTTTATTTAAACAAAATTTACTTTTATTTTACGAAGTATCATTTGTATATATTCGTTTCTTGTCTTGTATTTTGCGATCTGAGTATTAGAAAATACAGTAATACAGAATAAACATATTAATAAAAATATAAATGTATAAATTAATACATAAAATTCATGAACTTACCGTATACTTCTCAAGAGATTCCAATTTCTCCAATATGTCTGTTAAAACCAATTTCGCGTCTTTTTGTAAAGCTGATTTACCTTGATTATTAACATTCGAATTTGGTCGTGAACTAGAGATATAATGATCAAGATGCCGCCATATTAAAAGTAATGAGATTTCAACGTCATCTTGATAAAAAAAAAATCGGTTAATTATAAAATATTATATATCTATTAATAACATTTTTCAAATCAATTAAAATAAAGTCCCTTACATGAATGTTGTGTAATACACTTTGAAGTTTTATTAAGTTGTTCTTGTAAATTATCAATTTCTTCATTACGAATCTAAAAAAAAATAATTGTAAGAAATTAGTTCGGAGATATAATAGAGAAGAACAAGAGTAATGGCGATTTTAAAATTACCTCTTCAACATTATCTCCCTTTTCAAGTTTAGAAAATATTCTCCCGGAATTCTGTACGTGATGAAACAAAATATCTGTAGAAGTGCGAGCATAATTTACGCATATTGAGAGCTCCGGTTTTTCTACATTAAATGATAAAAAAATTAGATTTTAGATATTATTTTGAAATTATGTTTTTCTTCAAAGAAAAACTTACTGAGATCACCACGGTAATCATTATCGGGTCTTTTGGCGTAATCAAGAATTGGTGTAAAGATCGGTCTAAAGTCTATCATTATATAAAGGAATAAATCAATAAAAATATTATAAGCTAAAATAAATTTGGACAATTGACTCAACTTACCTTGAACGCCTTTTGTACTCGCAGTCATTATCTGGTACCACCCTAAAAGGTTTCGATTAATATTTTCAATTTGTTCTTGCGCGGCTTAATAATAAAGAAATGTGTCTTAGTTAATAAGATTTACCAACTTTTATGACAAAACTCTTAAGAAAACTTCAAGAAATAAAACAATTATAATTCAAATATAACTACATTCTTTATCAGATACTTTTCCTGTTGTCATCGGTACTAAACGCTTCCGCACTGGAAAGAATTGTATCATTAATTCTTTTAGAATTTCTTGGAACGTCCGTTGATGAGTTTCTCGACGCTATCAAGACATTCAAAAAGTAAATAATAATATTATTCAATGATAAATTTAGGAATAAAGAAATAATATACTAGATATATACATACAACTTTGTCAATAGCTTCTAACTTAACACCCAAGAAATAAAATATGCGAGACATTTCATGCACAACTCCAATACTCAACATCGCATTTTCTTTGACCTCCATATTTGGAGAAGCTAATAAATCAACTGGGGCAATGTCAGTCAATATTTCTAACATCAAACCTTGATGCCCACTTATAAAACTTGACGCCTAATATTAAAAATTAATTAATATAAAAATTTTAAATTATGTGAATATTCATAGCTTGAAATTAAAAATAATTTTACTTTTATTAAAGCATGTCCACTATCATGTCCTATGCTCGTGAGAATACAAGCAATGAGGCGTAATATAACGATTAAAAGTTCATGAAATCGTTTAAATTCGGGGTTATCGCCAGAATCTGAATAAATAATAATAATTAAAAAAAAAATCATAATAATTAAAATAATAATTATAAACAAACAAAATAAATAAATAAATTTCCATTTTACCTTGCATTGTTTTATTAAATTTTGGTCGTTCATCTAAAAATGCTAATTCGCCTAGATATTCAAAAACTCCAGATTCCATCAATTTAAGAGCGCAATCACGACGTTGTGCTAGGCGAATCAACAATACTGCTCTAGATTCAAATATATATTTTGCTTGCAAAGCAGATTGTTCTAATAAAAAAATTTAAAGTATTATTTGATATTATAAATATTAAATGACAAGCGGATTATTCTAGTTTCAAAAAAAAAAAAAATTTAGACGCTTACCAGGCCTTGATTTTATTGCCTTTAATAATAGTTCATTTTGACTTTTTAAACTCTTTACCATGGCGCCCAGAAAATGAGAGCGTATAATATAATCAATGATGAAATTACTTTTCTCACGCTTTCCCAAACTACATAAAGCAGTTAGAATATTCAAAGCACAAAGTTTTCCTTCTACAGGCCCTTCAGATGCGTCTAAGCGTATAATTTCGAGTATACGATCACCACTACTATGAAGCACTTCAAGATTACCACCATCAAGTGCAGACCTAGCACCACCTCGAGTTGAAACAGTTAAAAATGAAGACATGTGACTTCTTGGAGAAGATCCTGATATATTTTGTGATAATAGTCCTGCTTTAGGCGTTGAATTTCCAGGAGATAGCATTCGTGCAAATTCATTCGATCCAATCATAAAATCTGGATCAGAATCAATATAATGCAAGTAACTAAACATTATACAATATATGCTGTTGCGAACTTCTGGTGGAAATCCTGGCCCAATGAGACAATCAAGGATCAATTTAAATATAGAGTAAAGTCGTTCAAATGGAACCTTCGAAAGGTTTGCCAGATATAAAACCGATTGTTGTCTGCGATCTAAGCGCAATGCGGTGATGATGGCGAGAACAACCTTACTAAGGACTCCCGCAATGATATCGTTCTCGTTCTTCATAACTGTTAATAATCCCGTTAGAATATAATGAAATTTAGATTCCCGAACTTCTACTCTCAATAGATCGAAATGTTTATTATTAACTGTCATTTCAATAACTTCTCTCCAAGCTTTAAAGCATTCATTCCTTGCAAAAACAAATTCGCGATTACGATTGTGGAAAAAACAAAACTTTATGATCTGTTTCATTTCATTTCGTAAACTTTTATCATCAAATATAACTCCTTGTGTTCCTCTCTTGTGGAAATATTCATATATTCGATATAATTCAGAGAAGATATCTTGCAAGCGATATAATTCTATCCCTCTCTCATTACGATATAACCACGTTTCAATATCAAAGTTTCCAAAATATTGTCGTTGAGGAGCTTGCATTCGCCATGGATCATTCCAATGAAATTCCAACATATTTAATATATCAAGGATTTTCATAGTTGAAGGACCGTTAAAATCTAAATCCATTGAATTATTATCCTTCGATTTGATAACTTCAGAACCATATATTAAGGACAGCAAATTTTGGATACCGCTACGAGTTTGAGCTTTACGTAATTCTAATGAGACCAATTTCATCAACCAAGTTCGTTCATCAAGATTTGCACAAAGGCTAACCCAATCGATTTCAACTGTATGTTTGTCAAGTCTTATTATCATTCCTAGATCCCATTTTGGTTCCAAATCAGGTCGAACAATATGTAAAGGCATTATTCTAAATTGATTTGAAATAAATTTTTGACTTCGTAAAAATAGCAATGTAGCATCCGAAGTGTTGTTATCAACACAAAGTCTGTAGAGTATTTGATAACAACGTGCAGATAGTGAAGGATAATTTATAAGTTGATTATTAATCTTGATATTTTCAGTAAACCTATTAATGGGATGACCAAGGATTTCCATTATTTTATGCAGACAAGACTCTCTATAATCATCAGCCACGTATTTGATAACTGGAACTTGCAATGATCCACGAATATCATAACCTAGAAGAAAATGTGAAATAGTGGGTTGTATTTTACCAGGTCTAAGGTTTTCCAATATTAAGTCTAATATAGCACAACTAACTGTGGAAAGTGAAATATTTTCTTCCTTTGACAATGGATCTGCGCTATATTCTTCTTCGTCATGTTTTGACGTACGTTTAAGACATAATTGAATAAGTTCAAAGTTTCTTTGGTCGACACTAAAATCCCAATAATCGTCTCCCCTAAGTTCTAACCGTTTTACGAAATTATTAAGAATCTCATTTGCAAATGGACTAGTCTCCAATATACTCGATAATCTATTAACTCTACTGGTTCCAAGGTTATCTTTGGAATTAAATATTGTGGACTTAGCAAGACAAGCTAATATTTTAACCGCGTAAAAACAGACATCAGCATTTTCACTATCAAGTAATAATGCAATTGATATAATAATATCTTTTTTTGAAAGAAAAGCGTGTTCAAGATATCCTGGATTACTGCCATTAACAAGTGGAACCAAGGTTTTCAAAAACCTATCTTGCTTTTCCAGCGCAACCCATAGAATTTTTAAACAACGTATAAGAGGCTCGATGATGTCAGAAGAAGCTTCGTACTTATCAATCAATATATTCTTTCCGGAAGTTATAATTTCTAAAATTACTTCCATGAGTCGAGAATTAGTTATCAGCCTTTTCATGATGTTATATCCAGGGTGATTTTTTAAATATTCTACGTCTTCGTCATTGAATGTAATATCTTCCTCTTTATTCATTCTAAAATAATGATGCTTTTCAAATAATTGCCCTGTTAAATCAAAAGAAATCAAACATTTTTCAATTATTTCCAAGGAACTTGCTATTATTTCCCATTTTTGAGAGTTAAATATATATTCTCTCGTTGGTGCTTTTATGAAAATATCGTCAATTATAAAACTGACATAAGGTGTGATTCCAGGAATTCGATAACCCAATCCTAATTGGTTAGGTATGGTAAGTGAACGAACTGGAAATCCACATCGTAAAGCAATGAGTTGTTCAGGAACATAGATCAAAGTGCTAATAAGCTTAATAAATGCCAGCGTTTGAAAGAAAATTTTTTTAGAAGATTCTATCTCCTCTATTTCTTTCCTAATAGCTGACATATCATGCGTTTGAAAATTCGACTGTTCCATCACCGTAGTTGTTCCTATTTTAATATTTTTTGGTACAGTTGGAACAATTTGTTCTTCCTCAATTATTGTCCAGACTTTTGAAGTATATTCAAGAAATAAACTATCATCTGGAACACAGAAGGCAGCAATAGCATAATAAAGTTCGGCCTTTAATTCAGTTGGTATATGCTGCGACACCAAATTGAAAAGAAGCTTCAAAATACTACGCTTAATGAACTCGTGTCGTGCTTGAGCACAGTGTTTAACGACTTGCCGGAAAACGCGTAAGAAAGAGATTAAAAGTTGCACTTCTTCTTTAGGAATTTCCACTTTTTCATCAATCATACTGTTATTATAGCTTTCCATGGCTTTAAATAAAGTTTGCCAAGAACACCATCCTCCGCTTTCTGAAGCGCGTGAAAGAAATTCATAAGCATGTATACTACATTCTTTACCAGTAGCAAGTGCACTTAACATTTCCAAATAAGCACACATCATTCCCGTTTCTTGAAAACTTGCTCCCCAATTAATCAATGATTTCATTTCTATCCAACATTTAAGTCCTTCATCAGGAATATTACGAAATAAAGTCGCCATCAAAATAAAAAAAGCCCCTATATCATGACGCGACTCTGACGTTTTTTTTTGTTTCAAATTAGGAGTGGATGAGGATCTCTGTGTAATAGGAGTTACAGGATCTGTAGAAGCGGACTGAATCGCATCTTCTTCTTGTCTTCTAATCTTTTGTAGATAACTCATGTTCTTACCAACTAACTTGAAGACAAAATGCTCAAGCTGTTTGCGAAGATTATTTTGAAAATCCCTTTCAAGTTCAAGGATAGTTTTTGGCGTTTTTCCCGGAGGTATAAGTATGATACCACAGAAAGACACTTCACCATTATTTGTTTTATGCCAAATATTTTCAACATTTGGAAGATTTTCTATATAAATAGATTCCGTTTCAGTTTTCTGAAACGAAAGAAGGTAATGAGTTATAAATTGGAAAGCGTCATTAGTTACAGCCCGATGAAACATTTCTGTTAAATGTTCTGATTTAACTTTCAAACTTCCTTCTAAACCAGAATATTTTTTTATCGCATCTCCTATAAATATGCTCCACTCTATTAAACTAGCTGCCTTAGCAGCATTAACTTTCCACGTGCCTCGACTTATAATATCAGTAAAATTATTAATAAAATCTACATCTTTCATTAAATCTTCTAATTTCTCTTTTGCAGATAAATCATTGAGAAAATGTTCTGATGAAGTATTAATAATAGCTAATAATGCAGCGATTAAATAAGGATAGACATTATCATTAAGGTCAAGATTTTCAAGCATTTTGCATAAATTCAAAATTTCTTGTGTTGAAAATAGGTAAGTAAAGGCCATCTTCCATATAATATATGCAAGATATTTTCGATGTGTTGTAATTGAGGCCATTCTTTGTAAAATCACTTTCTCATCAACTGATGGTAGAATAGCGCCTTCATTTAAATAAAGAAATTGCTCTGTAGTTATAACAGAATTTCTATTGCTGATAAGTTGTTGATATCGACCTTCCAAATCTAACATCTGAGATCTTAAAGTCTCAATAGATTTCATAAGTTTAATACCATATAAAAGATCATTATTTAAATTTTCATATGACTTGAATAAACCATAAATAAATGTTTTGAAAACATCTCTGACTTTTTCTTTGACCTCTGCATCATAAATTTTGCTGAAAATAGTTAACAAACTTAACAACATATAAGTTTTTTCGTCATAGTAAAGATTAATTGCCGTTTCAGCGACTGGTTTATTATATTTTGACTTTAGTTCCTTTGCATGTTGATGTATTGTAGCGGCAAAATCCTCGCTGATATTGAGACTATGCGCAATATCGATAATTTCGTAGATTTCTGTACGTGAAAACCTATATGGTTTACCTTTTATCACCACCGGTTCTCCTAATAAATTATTAAATGGTTTTGAAATTAAAGGATCATTGAAGATGACATATACATATATTCAAGCTCATGAAGGTTCCTGAATTAACAAAAGATATGATCGATTTTATCGTTCAACGATAAACTTTTGCTTAAAATCATTAAACTGCTTACTAGCGTAAAATTTTTTCGCAGTTTATTAAAATAAGTTTTTATTTAAATATAGAAACTAACCTTGCTTGATTGCATATTCCTTTTGCAAGTCCGGTTTTGGATCGTCAAATAACAAAAGAAACCATGGTTTATATTCAATTAAACGAGGATTAAGTTCCATTAAAACATTATCAGTAGCTAAGTTTATTGTCTGTTGGATTTTATCAAAAAGGATTTTGAAACTATCTGGGGACCACTCTGTGTAGTCGAGCATTTTTTATTTTTTAATTTTTTTAAAAGAAACTTATTTAGAAATAAGAAATATCAAAAATTATAATATATGTATGTATGTATATATTTGTGTGAATTTTTTTTTTTTATTTAGTTACGTCTCGCAATCTCGTTTCTCCGCAGATATAAATTAAACTTTTAATAGTATTAGATTACCATTTCGTAAAGTCTTTTTAATTTTTCTTAAATTTATTCTAAACTTCTTTATTTTAGACGCGTAATAAATTGTTGCCTTTGCCTCTATACTTAATATCAAATGAATTTGATAGACTTAAAAAATCACCGTTAATTTTGTTTATTTTTTTTTCCTTAAAATTACAACTCTTGAAATAGAGTTTGTTGTTAATTATTTATTTGATTATTTTTCTACAAAAATTTTCTAAGAATTACATTAATTCAATCCTTTTTTTTTAATTTTTCAGTCAATTCAGGTACAACGGTAAATAAATCCGCAACAAGTCCATAATCTGAAATCTAAAAAGTAAATTGTATATGAGTAAAATTAGAAGTTAATAATCAAAAAATATAGATTTACTAATAGATTAGGTATTATTACTAGTGATTTATTAGAGGATAATGAGCAAGTAGGAATAAAAAAATCATAATATATATTATAATATCACAACTGTATGATTTACAATAATAATTTATATAATATTACTTTTGATATTGCAATGTATAAATAGTATCATCACAAAACTACATAATAATTTGATGCTATTAAAAATATTTAGACTCATATTGAACAGAAAAATTTTAATACAGAATATAATATCAAGAAAAGCTTCCTATATTTGATGAATTATACATAATTGTTATTTGTAATATCTACATAATATATTCTATTATATGAATAGATTAGTCAAAGAAATGTTTCAAATAACTTTTAAATATTATTTATAATAGGAGTGAGAAATTTAATATAATTTTAAATTTTTTTTAATTTGATCTTATCAATAAAATTCTATTATATATTTAAGCTCATATAAAGTTAATATATTTTTTTTGTTAAATCTAAAATCATAAAATTTCTTTTAATAATATTGCAAAATTATGTGATTTTTAATAATAATTAGAAGTTTTTTATAAGTTACTTTTTATAATATATAAATTACTTGATAGCATTAAAGTATTTTTATAATACTATTTTGGTTTTTCCTTATTTTTATTAGATTTTATTATTAGAATTAAGCTATTTACTGATCTTGATAAATTAATTTGAATGAAACTGATTAATCTGAATTGAAATTTTAAATTAATCTAAACTGTTTAAAATTTTAATTATTTTTTACAAAAATCATAAAATTTAATAATGTTTAAATATTATTATAAAATTCCAAAAAATAAGATAATAAATGGGACTAATTACATATTGATTTAATTTTTAAGCAAAATTAATATAGTTTATTATACTTCAAACTAATAATAGTATTATATTAATATTAATTCAAAATTATTATTTTAATATTTATATCATTTAGATATTAAATAAATATTATTATTATTATCTTAAATCATATTATTATAATATTATTAATATAATATTAATTTAATATTATTATAATATCATCAAATCAATATTATAATAATTTATTACTGCATTTATTAAATATAGTTTAAGTTTTATATTTTATACTTTTTTGGTATGTTTTTAATATTAATTTCTTTACTATCGTATCAAATTTATAAGAAATTAATGGTTAATACTGTCGAATCTTTAAATTCTTCTCTTATTGTAGTTTGAAATAAATAATCAATCTTAAATCTACACTGAATGTTGCTTCATCCATTATAATCAATTTAAAAATTCGTACTAATGCTCTTGCTAATACTATTAATTGTTGATCTTATGAAAAATTACTTCCATTCTCATTGACAGGTGAATCAAGTGTCAACTTCTCTCGCTTGTTTTGTTATGATACTGATTCACTTTTCACGGGTGATTTTTCGTTTAACGTAGAATCTGTATTTTCATTATCTGCATCTTCTTGAATAATGTGAACTTCTCCATAATGTTGCGTCATAATACTCTTTGAATGGATTAAATTGCTCCTTAATAAAACAAAATTTTTAATTGTTTTTTTTTTCTTTTTTCGTTTACTTCCGAGTCATAATAAATAAGATCATTTAAAATAATTAATTACCTTAACGTGTTGAACAAAATGGAATAATAGTGATTTTACTTCAAAGGTCTTAAAGACCAATGGTAATAATATCAATGCTATCCAATTCAATTTGTTCTGAAGTTGGTTCGTCAATATTGATTTGCCACAACCTATTTTTTATTTTTTATTTATTTTTTTTTTTTTAAAAAAAAGAATAAAATAAAAAAAAGTTGAATTTTCTTTCATAAGTATAATTAGCAAATTGATAATTCATAATGTTCATACTACATACCAGTTTTTCCAACAACACTAACTTTTACTGATGTGACTATATCAAATGTAACTCCTTTTAAGATGGGTGGAAGTTCAGATATCAAATCTACTTCTCCTTAACGGGCCATTCGGGTGGTGGTCTATGATCTGAAATTATTGATTCAGCTTCAACATCTAGTGAATCTGAATAAAGTACAAGTCATTCTATAGCATTCATATTCGCTTCCTGATGGATATAATAAAGGAAAGTTTAAAAAAAAGGTCAGAAATATTTTTTATTTTAATAGATAAAAGTGAAACATTGACTTACCACTTCAGTAAAATGCCTGATACACCAGTTGAAATCACCAGTGACTTGAAGTGCTTAATACCAAACCAAGAATCGTAAGGTTTACATTATATCTTCAATAATAGAAAATAAACTTGTAAAAATACTAATGCATTTGCATTGCTTCAAGCCGAATACCAACCAACATTGGATAATGATTATTATAAGGAAATATGCCCGATTTTCAATATCAACAAATTGTCTCATTCATTCTATCAATTAAAAATCTATTTGAGTGAATTGTTCCTAAATCTACAACAAAAATATCATTAAAGATAAAACAAATATTAACTTGTTTACGATAAGCTCGAATCGTAGGTATGACTGATAAAGAGACACAAAAAGGGAGTCAAGATCTAGAAAATCAAAATTGGCTTTTTAATAAGAAAAACTAAAAAAAAAATTCTATTAACCTTACGTTTCAATTCACTATATGTGGATCAATATTAGAGAGCAGCAAAATAATATAATGTCAAATGCGGAACCAAAGGAACAAGGAATTATACTAAGCACAACCGCTAGAGTGCTAAGGAACATGCGATTAAGTGTCAGAAAGTTCATTAACGCGCATTATTGCATACACTCTTTATCGTGCATTTAAACGTATTTTCCCAAAAGCATATTTCTAAAACCGATCCAGTAAAATATATAAAAAGGTGATGTTCCACTTTTTTACCCTCCTTGCAAAGATAAGCAAAAATCAAGTGAAAAATCGAACGAAAGTTCTAATAAAATTTCAAAACCTACCATTATTTGCATCATCGATTATTAACAATCAAACGAACTTGAATATTCCGCAAATAATAATAAGGTAGGATGGTTTATTACTCGGTTAGTTTCTTGAAACATGTCATATTCGCCGTGAAAATCGTTTCGATGTTTTATCAAAACATAATTTCATCGTCCCTGTTTCGGAGTAAAAAGTTCAAAAAAAAAAACAGATATCTGATCATCCGATCTATCCGATGGATAATCCGCCTTTTCTGCTAAATAAAAAAAAAAAAGTTTTTTTCTAAAGTAAAATTTTTATCTCCTTTTGGACGAAACATTTTTTATAATGGAAACTACATTTAAAAAAAAATCTTGTAAAATTATCGAATAACAATGTTATCGAGACAGGAACTAAATCTAGACGAAATAGATTTAGAAATATTAAAAAAGTCAAAAATATTCGGAGCTCATTCCAAAAAGAAGATTTTTACAGAAATGGTTTGGCGACAGGTCCAACACTAGCAATTATGGAATTTATACAAAAATTAAAAAAAGGTATTTAATTTAGGGGGACATTCACAAATGATCATATTATTTATTTGATTTTAATTAATGATTTTAATATATAGTTATAGAAAAAACAGAAATTACTGTTGAAGAAAATGAATTTTTATAAAACAAATCATGAGGTAGGGTATATTTATTGTTATCTTAAGATTATTGAGAAGGGATAATTAAGACTTTTCTGATAAATTTATATATGAAAATAATTATTTATTGGCTTACTACAATATTAGGTGCTGTTAAGAAATTTTTCCATAAGATATATTTCTGAATTACAAATAATTATGAAATATAATGAAAATTCGTGAAATAACAAGATTACTTATGGTTTTACAGATCTTTTTTTATCTGATAATAATTTAGAACAAGATTATGTTGTAATTGAATTAAAACTATTTAATTTAATTGGACTTTATTCTGGAAAATTGTATACTATACATGTAAATGGGTGAAACGTCTTTAGAAGATTTTGATAAAAAGTTACAAAAAAAATCAGTGAAATTATTATTAGAAAGAAATTATATTTATTGGTATAAAAATGAATAAAATATAAATCAATTAAATAAGAAGTATTATTAAAAGTAAATATAAACAATTATATAAATATATTAAGGTAATTGGTAAAGGTAAAGTTTATGATGGAGTTGATATATTAGATAATAGAATAATAAGTGAAGCAAGATTAAGTTATATAAGAGGATATTTTATAGCTTCTTTTAGAACGTAACGAGTTATAGTAAAATTTATAATTAAAACTTTAAATTATGAATATTAATGTTTAAATATTAATATTATATGAAATCAATCCTACTACATCATAAAGATTGACAAATGATTACCGTATTCTTCTGAAAATAAGCAACACTTTTTTGTTATAGTATTGCTTATTTTCAGATAGTTTAATAAAATGAAAGAAATTTGATCGCGTAACTATCAAATCATATAATTTTTGATGATTGAATTTCATTCATTAACCTGTTTTATTCTGTACAATAACAAAACGGAAGAGAGTTATTAAAAACTATTAGACGTAAGGTTAAAATTGTAAAATGAACATAAAATTCATACTCAGTTAAATATAAAAAAGAATGAACACTAATATTTTGTAATTTCATAATATTTTTTTTTTAATTGTAATAATAAAATGCATTTATAATATATTCATAAAGCTAAATTATTTATTTACAAAAAAAAATTTTATTAAAAAAAAAAACTTTCAACTTTTTCTGAAGTTTTGCTTATTTTCAGAACCTATATAAAACAGGTATTGCTTATTTTTAGGGGTTGCTTATTTTCAAAAGAATACAATAACATTATTAACATTTTTAACTTCTTCAACATTTTTATATTATTCATTTTTATCTTATATTTTATTATTATATATTTATTATATTTATTATTTATTATATTTTTATTATAGTTAAATTATATTTTATCTCTTATATTTATTTTAATGTTATAAATTAGTTTATATAAAATAGCGTTAGATAGTGATTTTCTTATAATTGTAATTTTGTATAAATAAGATAAAAAATTGTTTTTGTAAAAGTATAGAAATAATAGTAATAATTTAATAATTTGAGTTAAAGACTTAGAATCCAAGATTAAGGATTGTTAAGAATACAATTTCTATAATAAAAATATTTCTTTTTAAATTACACACATATTAAAATCTTTTAACATGTCAAAGTATTTATTGTTTTACAAATTGTTAAAGTTATTTTATTCGTCTAAATTATAAACCTAAGGTTAATTGTGATAGGACTTATTTTATAGTAATTTAGTAGTTTCTCACATATTACTCACTGTTATTAAGTTATCATTACCCTAAATTTAACAGATTGAGCGTAAGGTTAACAATATGAATACTTAATCAAATTCATAGCAGGAATTTAAAGAAAAATTATCAATATTTTATAAAAAATTAAAAGGTTTCTTTTTTTAGTAAAGTTTTTATTTTAGAAATTAGATTTTTTGAAGTTTTTTACTTTATAATAACTATAATAATGATAATAATTTGTAAAGAATTTTATAGTTCAAAAAAATTTTTTATATTAAAATATTAATTATTCATTATATAAAAAATAAATTGAATATAAAATACAAAACCATTTAAAAAATATAAAAATATAAAATTAAAATGCTCTTATATAAAATTATAAGTTTTATATATTTTATATAAAAAATCTTTCTTTATCTTATATAAATCTAATTAATTAAGACATAATAATAATATAATTGTCAAGTTTATTTTGAATTCTTTGTAATATATAAAATAAAATTCTATAAAATGTTTAAACAAAATAATTTAATTTAGTTTTAGAATGTTATCTGAAATTTAAGTTTAATTAATCTTACCATTAACATAGAGAATTTATATGATTTTTTATCAATATCGATTATTTTATTTGAATTTATAATAATTAATAAAACTGATACTGATAAAAGAATTTTATTAAATTAATTATTTTATTAAATAATTGATAAATAATCATACATAATACAATTAATACATTATCAATTGTTAACAATATAATTATAATTTTTATTGAAAGAATATAAACTGAGCTTTTATTAATAAAATTAAAACCTATCAAATTTCAGTTTCTCATTATTTTATTTAATATATTATTAATTTCATTTAAAATAATATTAGTAATTTAATTCTCAAAATTATATAATTCAGATTTATTTTTCAATAATTTATGTTATTACTAATTTATTTATTTTTTTAAACTGAAAAATATAAATATCTTATTATAAAATAAAATTATAAATAATCAATAAATTAATACTATCATATCACTTATATTTTTATATTCTTTTTCTTGATTATTAATAATATTTTGAATTAATTTTAAAATTTTTTTGATTTTCTTTTAATCAAATCAACCTTTATAAATAGAATTTAAATAAACTTTAAATTTCTGATAAGATAATTGGTTATGTTTAATTTCTGTATTAAGTATTATACATATGAGAAGACAAATTTTTTTTTTTAAATAATCAAATAGAATTTTATAATAAAATATTTTATAATATTTGATAAAACTTTTTTAATATTAAAAATAGAATCCTAAAATTATAATCCTATAGCTAAAACTTTTGTAATTACATAATATTACTCTTTA